TGCTGGACGTTGAAGCGCGCATGCGCAGAGGGCAGAAAGGCAGGGCGCCTGTGAAAGGCGGCATATGCAACGAGCTGCTCGCGGTGGACGCCGAGCCGCACGCCAAAGAATTGCACCCCCTCTTCGTAAAAGCCGGTCTACAGGATCCGCTCGGGTGGCAGCACGCGGCATTTGCGGAGATCCCAAAGGGCAAGAAGGATTCATCAACCCAGGACGCCTACAAAAGCATCACCCTGTGCTACAACATAGCGAAGATGCATTACACCTTCCTGCGCGACAGGCTGACCCAGGTCGTCGAGACACTGTACTTCGACATCCAGACGGGCGGACGACGAGGCAGGTCTGCGGCGACGGCCACCCAGCAACTACGTCTGCTGCAGGCACTGGCCAGGCGGAGCAAAGACGCACTGTCCATGCTGTTCGTGGACCTCCGCGCCGCCTTCTACCGCATTATCATGCAGCCGGTGGTCTCCGCCCCTCAGCGCGAGGGCGACGTCCGCGAGCTTTGCAGGAAAGCAACCACGCCAGAAGCGCTGAAACCACTTCTACAAGAAGTTCCTGCACAACCAGGGATCCTCGACATACGCTGCGACGACAAGCACCTGAGAGCTCAAGTTGCGAAGGCCCGCCGCATGACCTGGTTCCAGATGAAGAATGCGACGTCGGAGGCCCCAAAGACAGCGACTTCCCGCAGAGGCGCCCGCCCTGGTGCACCGCAGGCAGACCTCCTCCTCCTCAACCCCGCCTTCACGAAGCCCCTTCGGATGGTCGCGGAGAGGATGGCCAGCGAACAACGGATGAACGACATCAGCCAATACATGCCAGACTCGAGCAGCAGGACATACTCCGAGCTGGCACACCAGGACGACATGCAGGGCATATCATACGCGGACGACACAGTCTTCACTACAATATCGGAGGGCATGACCGCGACACTTGAGAGGACACGGCGCGTCGGCGACATCGCATTCGAGTATTTTGCCACACGCGGGATGCAGCTCAAATTCGGGAGGAATAAGACGGCTGCAGTCATAGCAACGTGCGGCCGAGACGCAAGACAGATACGAGAGCATGTATACAGTGAGCAGGCGGAGATCAAGACGACGGACCACGGCATTGAGATCGCACCGCCAGGGAATAGCAGCACATGGGCATATGCACCAGCGCCGACGCCTCCTGGGGACCTGAGGTGCACCATCGGGTACGCGAACAGTAGCAGGCACGTGCCCCCATTCAGCGAGGAATATTTGGAAAAGTCTACCTGTCGTCAATGCGCGCTGCCAAGTACGTCGACGTCCTGGCGAATTCCACGCTGCTCTACCAGTCAGACGCGCGGGCGGATCTCACGCGCGCGGGCACCAAGAAGATCCTCACGGCCAACGCCAATGGATGCACAGCGGCTGCTGGAGTAGGCTACGACAAGGAGAAAGGACGGCAAGCGACCGACGAGGACGTGCACATCCAGACAGACCAGGCAGACCTATCAGCCACGGTGTTCGCGAGACGGCTTCGATATTTCAACGACGTCATTCACGAGGCGCCCGCGATCTTGCGGAGGTTGTTGGACTACGGCGCTCAAGTGGGCGACGGGTTGCACGTGGAGCTCCGAAAGTCGCTCGAGCGGCTTGTTATGCGCAACAGGACCAACAGCATGCCCGAGCACTGGAACGATTACAAGGCCTGGTACCAGCGATGCAAAAGGAACCCCGAGGTCAAGCCCAAAGTTGTCAGGGGAAGCAGTGGTGGATCGAGTCCTGGAAGTTGAAAGCTTAGAGGAAGCAGCGGGGAGATGACGACCACTCCCACGCCGAAGAGCACAGCGAGAACCAGCCTGGCACGAATACCGATTTCATGTGCTACGATTGCGGATGCTGCTTTACCTCAGAGGCAGCATGGAAACGCCACAAGGCCGAGAAGCATCTCCTCGCCGAGAACCCGCAAACTTTCGCGAGGGGCTAGACCTGCGAATGTTGCAGGACTGATTTCAGGTCACGGGTAAGGTTGGTCAGGCATCTGAGACACCGAAACACAGATGCATGAGACACTACCTGCAGGAGGTCGAGACCATGAACGCCAAATAGGTCGAAAAGCTCATGGAACAAGACGCACATGATATCAAGAAGCTGAACGCTAAAGGATGGCGGGAGGACAAAGCGCTGCATCCAGCAGAGAAGGCGGACGGCGTGGAGCAAAGAGGGATGCCCAACGGTAACCACCGTTCAGCATCGGCCAACGCCAGCAACGCAACGGCAATTCCATAGCGCCCTCGCTACTCCGCACGGTACGCCTCGCGGATGCATCCGCGACAAAACCGACCTCGACGCGCGGCTTGCCACCGCCATCCAGAGCTACGCCCACGCAGGCAACATCGGCATGTTGAATACCGACCGCGAGGACCTAGACCTGAGGCTCGGACAGTCGATCCAGGGAAGGTGTGCTTGGTACGAGATCATGGATGCGGTTTCAGCGCTGGTTGTCAGGCCCCCTTCCGCTACCTGGA